AAGGGATGGGCTGGAGTATTGTTTTTCAGGCTCTCTTTGGAATCGGGGGGGGGGGGTGCGCGGGCACGCATGCTGTTAAAAACAATGCCTGCCCCAAAGTGTCACAAGAGGATCACACCTGGCCACCAAAGGTCGTCTGAGCGGCTCCTTCTGGTGCTCCAAGTAGGAGAGACAAACTGCTTCCCCACCCCTGCCCTAAGGCTTGTTTGATCTGCTATCACAATGGGATCCCTCAGTCCAGAAGCTGGAGGGGGGAAGCACTCTGCCTTTCCCACCACAGTGAGTCACTCACCAGAGTGCCCGAGGGCTGTCCCCAGACTTAGCCAAAATGGATCTCAATCAGTGGTATTCAACCCAAGAGTTGGTTGGGTCATAGGTCTCTTTAGAGTTGCTATTTTTTGTTGCCTTTTGGGAGGACCCACTGCTAGTGTGCATGCACAGAGAGCCAAATTACCACACCTGCCTTTCATGCATCGGAATGGCAAGGCCAGGTCACTCAGTGGTAAAGGAGGTTCTTCCATGGATCGGCACTTGGGTTGGTTCCTGGTTATGGTGGACTCTCTGCTTGTACTTCCTGTCCTCAGCCCTGGCTTCTCCTCTCCCTGTCATCTGCCGCCTTCTCAAGGGCTTGCAGCTCCGTGGGTCCCAAGTCTTGGAAGAGTGGAGACCGTTGATCCAGATGATCAGCTGCATCCAAGATTGTCTGGCCACCGCCTTAGTCGCCTTTCTCAAAAGAGTAAACTTGATGCTGACCTAGAATCAGAGCGTTGGAAGGGACCTCCAGGGTCATCTAGTCCAGCCCCCTGCACAATGCAGGAAATTCACAAATACCTCCCCCTAATACCACCGGTTATTATCTCAAGATGACTGGATTCGAAGACTGGATTTTTCTAAGAGGGGTCTGATGCTTGCTTCTTTAAAGTGTGTAAAATGTCTCCCCACTGCCCAGGCCAGGACAAGAATCAAGAGGTGCAGTTCAGAGAGATAAATGTAAGAAACTTAAGCGCAGTTTGTTTTCTCCGGATTAAACCCAGAGGAAGCCCGAGATCAGTTCAGCATGGTGGAGAGAGAAGTTGGTCATAAGAGCAGTGGAGCCTGCAGAATCTTCTTCCTGGGAAAATGTGTTGATAAGAAACTGGGAGGTTCATTTAGATCTGGGAGACTCTTGCTTTGGCTGAGAAGTTGGCCTGCAGAAGCCATCGCCGTTTGACTCACTGAAAGAGATGTTGCAGTCAAGAAAGATTTAAAAAAAAAAAATAAAAAATTCAGCCCAGTAGTTTTTAGTGTTATGGGTCACGTTTAAAGGAACTCAGCCTGTGTTGCTTTCAGATGACGGGTTCTCTGTCAACCGCGGAGAACTATTCTGATGGCATTAGAACCAAGAATGTCTAGACTGGCCTCAGGAAATTTGAAATACAAGCAGGGCTATTTTGGGGCAGGAACGCACAGGAACGGAGTTCCGGCTGGCCCCTGAGTTGGCCACGCCCAGCAGGGACTCATTAGCATAACAGGCTACACCCAACAGCAGAAACGCATTAGGATTGG